ATCGGCACACTAACAGCTGTGGGTACGTGGGTACTGCTGCAGCGATAATAGTATTATGGGGGGAACATCGTACGTAGCGTAGGTACTTCTCTCCATGCTCCCGCTTGTGGTCTCTCGTGCTGTAGGAGAGAACAACAAGCGCGGCGGCATCTGGAAGACTCTCGGAACAACTATTAATATTTACGACACTACTGGAAACTAGACAACTGCATGTGCCGTTCGCGTTTTTCTGAGCTCCAACGATGAGGTGGATGGACCAAAGCGAATTCTTTCTCCCCCCAAAAGAAGGGCGATGCGCACTAAATGCATTAGACGTGGAGGAGGCGGAACAACACAAAAAGCTACTGCTACACACACTCTCCCTTGCTACAGGTTACACACACAACACTACCTTACGCTACACCCCAACGTATCTGCAGGAGAACGGAGAGGTACGGAAAGGTGTCGCGGTTTGCTATGAAAATACCGCCCCTGGGATCGGATCAGACACCAGACCTATCCTCCGCTTGTTGCTCACAACGACCAATAGGCACGTGGCGTTCCTACCTTTCCCTCGTGCTCAGCCATTACTCTCCCTTTCGCGCGAGCTTCCGTCCTTTGTGCTTGGCTGTCTTTCTTGGCTTTGCTCGGCCCAAGAACCAAACAAGGCGTGTTTTGTCCGGTGCTCTGGCGGGTCCCCGCGAAATACATCTGTTGAAAGGCATACCCTATTGAGCTTTTGGGTTTGATAACATACAGCTGCGGGTGCTCCTATGCTGATTGAGTTGAGATGACAAGTAGGGTTAGAAAAGTTTAGTCTGCACAAGGGTATCTACGAACACCAGGCACACGCATACAAGAGGCCCAAGCGCGAAGTTTCCCTGACTGCCCCGTGAGGCCCGCACATTGTTTCGCAGGGAATCTTGGAAGCTTGTTACAGGTGCCGCTTAATTTCTCTCCCCGCGGGCGGACGCCGCCGCCGCCGCCGCCGCCTCTGTCGGGGCCGTGTCGTGTGCTCTCCACATAGCATACAGGAAGATATTGGACGCAGCAGGCGATGCAAGGCAAGACCGGGTCAAGACCACGCGGCCCCTCCATCAGCGGCGAGAGCATGACGACGCTGTTCACCGACGATCCATTGATGCACAGCCTGGCCCTGTTCGGGAATGGAGGCCAACTGGGGTTGTTGTCGCACACCCCGCCCAACTTCACCCCCGGTTCTTACGAGGTAAACAAACCAAAAATGGCAACAACAATCACCGATGGATGTGATCTTGCTTTAGGGAGCGCGTGTGGCAGGCAAATCATGTGGATAGCGTGGATTTCTCAGATGCGCGTCGTGACCCTTGCCCCGTAGGTTCTCCATCGCCCCGGGTTCGTCACAGCGTTGTCGGCGGCGTTGAAAAGTACCTCCATCAATCCTGCTGTTGTTTTGGGGCCAGCAACAACAGCAGCGGTGTTGTTTGCCGCGGAAAACATTCGCAAAGATTTTTTTCATTCCCGGTTTTCTCTCACGCCGCCAAGGCGTGGTGCGTCAAGCTCTCGGTCCCTGCCGGGCGAAATCTCGCCATGTGTCGTGAGTTGATACCGCTGTGCGCACGGTTGCTGTTGGTGTGTGCTATGCACGCGAAAATCCATGGTAAAACGTGGTTATTTCCTGTTTGGGGATACGAAGCCGTCCGTCTCCCAACCACGTAGCGCACGTTGTTTTTTTCCAAAGGTGTGTACATGGTTTTTGACCGTGGGGGCTTGGAAATTTGAGAATCTTCCATGCGGATTAAGTTTCCCTGACAGCCAAGCCAAGCGCGGCCCGCGCCGTGTTACCCTTCAACAGCAGCGCGCCTTGCTTCGTCACTTTCTCGCATCTTCTATTTTGGATCAGCGGACGGAAATTCAACAACGTGCACCTCCCGGCAACGTTTGTTCATCGATTGAGGCAGATGTCGGTAATTTTCATTTGCAGTTCATTTGTGTCAAACGAATTTCCCTCTCTTGGATGAACAACATCACCATTCAGAAAATAATCTGCCCTGCTGCTGCTGCTGCTGCTGTGATGACTTGTGACCGGCCCGCCTTAAGAGGCAAACTTTTGTGTGCTGCTCCTGACGATTGCTGTACCTTCCCACCCGCTCCGCTGCTGCGACTGTAGCCAGTGGCGCCCCTTCTCAAGCGTATTACGGTACCCGCCAATATCGCCGCTCGCTGAACCTGGCGCTCATTTCCGTCATGCTGTACTGCTGCTGCTGCTGCTCCTTCTTGCTGTGTGTTGGACCACACACGACGTTCCAAATCGAAAAGACTAAGAAGCATGAACTCTGTAAATACCATCCAATATGCTTGCCGCTGCAGGTATCGCACATGAAGCGGGCGCGCGCCGGGAGTATTTCCGGGCGGCTGCGCTCAGCGTCAGACCTGGAAGAGAAGGGCTTGATAGACAAAAGTCAAAAGGGGATCCTCAAGGACCTCATCATCAGCGGCGACTCGCAGCTGCAATCAGCGCTTGACCTCTACGACAACGGGGATGCGTCCCAGCTCGAAGGTATGGGGACGAGAAGTTTTTTTTGTTCGTTTCTTGCCACGGTGCTTGTGTTTTGTACTTCGATGTGGATACACGGGGTACAACCGCAGGTCTTTTTTTGCAAGATGATGGAATTTGAACTATAGTCGTGTGATTTCGTTGCATCAGTACAGGCTGGTGCTCGCTGGGCGTGCGGCGTCGTCAAAGGCCGAGGAGGGGGGTTGGTTGCTGTAGGGTTGATTTTCCTCGGTGTCGGTGATTCCGTGTCATTGCGAACGGACTCGAAGATCCCTGCTGCTTCAGACCAGCAGGGGGGGCGGGAAATGTTTGCCATGCTCCGCATCTGCGCATGTCCCAGAACCGAGTCACCTGCTGCCGTGCTTGCTGTCGGATTTGCTGTCGGGCCGTGAATCTACACGTCTGCCCAGATGACGGGGTGTCGGAGGGATTACCCCCGAAAAGAGAACAATACTCATACAACTGCAAGGCATGCACAGCTCTGTCGTTGAAGGGACCTATGGCCTCCCTCTTGATAGCTTGAGAGACCACCCCCGAAGGGGGCCACTCAGCAAAATCCTTCGTGCGCTGTCCAACCCATCTAGACAGCATTTTCACGAGTTCTTGCACATGCTGTAGTTTTTTGGAAGGGCGGTACACTAGGAGTATGCATGCCTACATGTGCGAACATGCATGCGAATGTGCACATGGGGCGTTTGACAAGGGGGTACAGTTGAAGACATGATGCACGCGGACACGCCGTAGGCTCTTTGATGGCGAATTCCGCGCATTCATACAACAAAAATCACCGGGGTTGGCTGTAGTCAGGTACCGTGCGGAAAAGGGCATACGGCGGTGGAGGTTTGAGTTCTTCAACCATGGTCGCGAAGCACCTGTTGGGGCCGTTTTGAGATGTCTTGCTGTTTCCGATTCGAGGCAAAATGGAGACAACAGACGTTTATGATCAACGTATACATAGACCATGGCATCACGGCGTGTACTTTTTATTTTTTCCGCTACTCGGAAGTGCAGTATGAAGCCAGAGCATCGAATCCCCCAACACAACGCCTGTGTCGGATAGTTGAAATAGAATATGGTAGTATACCTAGTTGAGGCGTTATCCCTGTACATCGCCCGCAGGCAACGTGTCTCATTTCCTTGTTGTTTGAATGTCCTTGTTCGATCGACTGTGTGGTTGAGGTGACGTCTGTTACCGGCTGCTCAGCTGGAGGATGTTGATGCCAACACTCACCAACACTCCCATGCGTTGATACATTCTACATCACGCAGTTGTTTTTTCCGTTGCTTGTTGATTTTTTACGTTTGCGGTTGTCCAGGGGGCGTTCGCTTTGTTTTCAACTGCTGTTGTTGTGGTTGCTTGCTCCAGGCGCCCGGTAGGGTCGTGCAGACCTTTGTGCAGATTGATGCAGCACCTATTCTACGGACCTGTTGGCCTGCATTGGGTACATAAGTACTTGTCAGTCTCCCCACCCACTACTCTGTGCGCACTATGATCGTCGTCGGCTAAAATTGCCGGGGATGACGCGATTGCTTATCCTTGCCTCGGACCTTCCCGAACGTACACAACCCAATTAAGTGATCACCATAAGTGTCCGTCCTGACTTCGTCATCATGGATGATGTCTATGCATAGCAATCATTGCCGAGTTGGGGTTCTCTCCAACATCCAACGTACAACACCGGCGTGTTTGAAGAGCGTTCGACGTGTTTGTGACGTATTTGTTTTCTCTGTGGGGGCAATGTTTTTTTTGCGGTGGGTGCCGACCGGAAGTCGTCCGACCCGCGTACCAGCGTGGTTTCCTGGCCAGACATTCGAGGGTGTACAGTATGCATAGATTGTGGTATGCTTCCACTGACGTAAAGGTCAAGGCGGTTACGAGTGGTGCCCCCACCCTCCCGTTTTTTCTCTTTTTTTCTGAAAGTGACCCACACATTCATCTCGTTCTACTTGTTTACTTTTTTTTCACGACAACGACCAACGATGCGCTGTTTCTGTCGAACGTGCTTGCTTGGCATCCTGCATTCTACATGATGGTACTGGGTAAACAGCTGTAGTCCCGCGTGTTGATCAGTGCGTTTGTATCCGATACGCAACATTCTCTACCAGATGTTGGCACAGCCTATACTTTTGTCCCGAAATACTGCTATCCGCTGCAATATGCAGACTACGGGTGGGTTTTGGCCAGCGATGCCACGTGTCGCACCATGCTGAATTTCCGCCTGTATCCTTGACTCCTTTGTTATGTAGGTGAAGGCAAAAAGCGAACTGCTACAATATATCACCGTCCCCGATAGTGGAGTATCGCCAGCTCACCTATTTGTTTCCAACCAACAGCAGCATTGCTTGACCAAGAGGTGTTGTCATTCTGTCATCACGCGCATGTTGCCCTGTTCCCACTGGACGCCCGTATGCATCCCTTTTTGTCTATCCGAATCAAATCATGCGCCCCCTCCCCCGCCCCCGCCCCCGCCCCCGTCTCCCATAGCTCTAATGGAGAACGGCTTGCTCGACCGGCGGGAGTCCTTCGATCTCCTCGACAACCTCGACTTCGGGATCATGGAGCTGGGCATGTCCGATGAAGAGCCCTCTAATCACAGCGGCGCTGAGAGCGCGGCGGTCGAGCCTGTGCCAGACGGCCCCGACCAACATAAAGCTCAAGCAGGCTCTAGCAAACCCACGGTGCCCCCGCCCCCCCTTCCAACCACCGCATCGGCCGCCACCGTCAAGGCCNGAGAGCGCGGCGGTCGAGCCTGTGCCAGACGGCCCCGACCAACATAAAGCTCAAGCAGGCTCTAGCAAACCCACGGTGCCCCCGCCCCCCCTTCCAACCACCGCATCGGCCGCCACCGACAAGGCCGTCGTCACGACCGGCGTAATAACGAGGGCGTTCCGAAATAGCGGGGGAAGCGAGGAGGGGGGGCCGGCGCCGGGGTCGTCTGTCGGCGGCGGGGAGAAGGTTTCGACGCAGGAAGGCGGTGATGGCGTTCAGGGCGGGGGGGTCGCGATGAGAAGTATCGGCGGCGGCGGAGGGCCCGCCGGCGGCGGGAACGGAGCTCAGGACAGCGAGCACGAAGTCGACGTGAGGATCAATCGTTTTTGCTGTTGGTTGTGGGACCCAAAGATGGGTCACCTGCAACACAGAAAGAGACAGCCGCGGTTTCGAATGTGTCAGAGAAGCGGTGTGATACTGGCGTTTTTCTGTCCCGCTCGTTGTCCGTAGCGTGTCCGCCACGAGAAAAATGTTTTCAGTCTGCGGATTATCCTCGCTGTAGAGTACTGTAGAAGATAATCCTACGGCTGGCTCACCATGCGGATCGCCTCGTCATAGAAGGTCGTACTTTGACGCTGTTGTCTTGTTGGTGGTGATGGCCATGCTGCGGTCGTACAGACTCTTTTTCTGGGCCGGCAGTGAGGGCGGCTCCTGTGCGTGCCAAGCCACTCCCACGCCAACTACGGACAGCTCTTTGTCAGCGATCTGTAGGCTGTGCCGCTCTCAAGCCGCCTGCCGCCGTACTCAAACGGTAGTGGTGTCTACGCCAGAGGTCTCGGTGGGTGCGACCTCGGGGTAGTGTTCGCCACGAGTGGCACATGTACCGGCGAGCGGGGTCGCGCGCGTCCTTCGTGCAGCCGTGTGCTTGCCACTTTGCCCGTCGCATTCACCTTGCCCTCCCGCGTGCAGGGCACGGGGGATATGGTCTGGATGGATTCGAAACTATATCCTGTTGACGGTTGCCGATGGCCTCGTGAATTTGTCTGATTTTTTCCGCCACGCAACGGATCTCGCGCTACCGTTTTTGTGGTTGTGTGTTCCCTGTCTTTCAGTTGGCCGGCGATGGTTCGGGTCAGTTCGACATCGGCGAAATGGCTTTCGACGCGACTTTTGATCACGACTATGGCGAACAGGAGGTGAGCGGAGACGGACGGTTGATTGCACAAGCGGAGGCGGCGGTGTCCCGAGGTATTCGAACGCCAACGTCAGCCCTTCCAGTCGCCGCTCTCGCATGTAGTCCTGCACGCCAAAAATGGCAACAAGCATGTGGAGCGAACAGAGTATTTCGTCACGCGTGCCACATGGCGCACCAGTAAAGCGTGGCGCCACTGCACCTAGAAAGATGCCCACAGCATCGATCGATACACGCGTGTTCGAATGCCACCGTGTGTAACTGCTGTGCGACGATAGGACGACGACGTTGACATGAAGGACGGGAGCGGACAGCTGCCCTCCTCCTCCTCGACCAGGGCAGCCGCCGCCGCTGCCGCGGCCGCCGCGGCCGCAGTGAGCACGGCCGTGGGACCACTGCGCGTGGTGGGCTCCACCTCCAAGAACAAGCTCTCGACGAGGGTGCCTCCGAAGCTGATATCCTCACGAGGACCGCATCGTCACGACGACGACGAGGATGATGACGACGATGACGGACGAACTGGGGGAGAGATAGACGTGGGCGACCAGAGCGGCGATGACGACCTTGGCGACGAAGGCGACGATGACGACAGCGACGCCGAGCGTCCCGAGGGCGGCGGCGGGAGCCACGCGGGTAGTGGTGAGACGGGGCCGGGAGTTGTCATGTCGGATGATGAGGGTGGCGGGCGGGAGGGGCACGGGGACCCAGACGCGCCGGGGCTCGGCAGCTTCAGCACGATGGGCGCCGTGATCGGGGACTTTAGCCCGCAGTTCAAGTTTTCCTTCACCGACGACATCCATCTCGACCTTGGTGGTGGACTGAAGGTATGTGGGCGTGGACGTGGCTGTGGAAAGCGGGCGTTCCGGCTGACTTGCGGGATTCTGTTGTTACCCTAGTTTGTATTTTGGAATATTTTGGAGATGCCACTGGTGCGGGTTGAGGCGTTGGCCATCAACGGAATGCACGGTGCACGGCATTATTTTTCAACCCTTTTTTGGTGACCCTTGTCTCTTTTTTCATTCACTCCCGCTTGGCCCCCGAAACAACGACACCAAAATCAACTGCACTGCTGCCGACCGGCCTCAGGACGAGCTGCGAGACCTGGAGTCCTTCTCCGAGCACGGGCCGGACCCGCACGGCAGAGGTGGCGAAATGCTGGCCCTCTCGGCATCTCGCGCGCAGCAACTGCTCTCCCGAGGGGGCCCCGCGGTTGTAAAGTCGGAGGCCCTGTCGACGTCGCCCTCTCAGCTCGGAGCGACACGGTCGGGCACGGCGGCTGCGGCTGCGGTTGCGGCGTCGGCGAAAGCCTCGGCGGCCGATGCCGGAGGACCGGCGGCGGCCGGCGGCTGCGGCGGCGGCGGCACCGATAGCAGCAGCGGTTTCTCGACGAACCACTACGCTTCGGGCGCGGCGTTCCACGGGCGGCACACGGGGCCGTACGCGACGGCAGAGGACGCGGCAGCGGGGGGAGAGGCGGCCGGGGCCGGGCCTTCGTCGCCGGTGTCGGTCCAAACACGACCACACGGGTCGTCGGCGGCGGCGATTGCGGCTGCGGCGGCGGCAGCGGGCGGCTTCCACGTCGGAGGGCACGGGGGTACCGGAGGAGGGGGCCACGCGGCGGCAGGGGGGGTGACCCCTACCCCCCACGCGGCGAGGGGCAGGCCGGTGGTGTCGGGGATGGGGATCATGGTGGGCGGCGGGCCTAGGGTGGGCATGGGCGCCGGCGGCGCCGGCGCGGACGGGGAGAAGAAGTTCGTCGGTGCGTACTCTCCGGAGGCGAGGCGGCAGCGGATAGAACGGTTCCTCGAGAAGAGGGAGAAGAGGGTGAGCGAGTGTGCATGAGGCGGTCGAGCGCGTGTTCATTGGACGGGATGGGATGCACGCTAGTGTGGCTTTTTTGGTTGCCCGGATTATGTGTGTGTGTGTGCTTTATTTGTCGTCTCTTCATATCAGCGCCCACAGCATTTGCGCCGTTTTTTCCAACTCATGGGCCACACAGAAGGACTCCTCTCCTTGGGTCCCTCTCCTCACCCCTCTTGCGGTGGTTTTGCCTTCGATTTTTGATGCGAGAAGAGCGCAGCACTATATTCCTTCTGTGTACACACGGACGACGCTTTCCACCCAGGCCAGGAACAGAAGCGAGATAAAAACGTGCCAGTACTCTGCACGAAAGCTCGCTTTCGCCGGGATTCGAATCCATGCCCCTGCCCCCTAGAAGGTTTTCGGGAATGCCGTGTAGGACATCGGGGCGACCGATGTTGTGTACAGCACGGTTTTAGTTGGATCATCATTTGTTATGAGGGAAGACGTTGCACGATGTTGTGGATAGACCAGTTTTGTGTGCTGGTAGGACAAGGACCAGTGGGCTTGTAGGCGCGCCCAGGAGCGTGAGGACTTGCCCGGTATCAGCTCGCTCTGAGGCACCACAATGCCCATCACTAGATGATGTTGCTGGTCGGAAGCCGGTACCGCACTGAACAGACATGGGTGCCTTTTCCCCTAAAGGTGGTTGATCGTCTCTGTATTTCCCGTGAGTGATGAAAAGCAACGAATATGGTTGTTATCCCTCAATCTCTGCGTCTCTGGCTTTTTAGTACCTGCTCCATTTTCCCGGAAAAATACACAAAATGGATACTGTACCTGACCCAACTGTTCGATGAAAATTTCCATGAAACATTGCACGCTTTTTTTTGTAGCCGGAAGTGTCGTCGACTGATGGTTTATAATGCTACAGGACGTAACGGCTTTGGATCGAAACTAACCATTCTTGTCCTCGGCTTCTGCTTTTCTTTTTCCTTGTCATGCTTGCGTGGAACTCTTTCGCCCCGGGGAATGTATCGGCGCCGCGGCTCTCTCTTCTTCGTGGGGGCGGCGGTTGTTCCACGGACACGGACACGGACACGGACACGCACCAACGAACTACTAACAGGTGTGGACGAAGATGGTCAAGTACGACGTCCGCAAGAACTTTGCCGACACGCGCATGCGCGTCAAGGGGCGTTTCGTGAAGAAGGAGGACGAGGCGCTTCTGCGCGAGGTTATGGCGTGCGCCTGAGCTTGGCCTAGCTCCTTCGTCCAAGGGCAACAGAGGCAGGGGTGGCGGCAGCTTGCGAACGCAGGCCGGGACCTCGTATCCTGCTGGTGTCGGTACAAAAACTGTACATCTTGTGTGATGTGAATGTTACGAACATACCCCGGCGGATCGAGCCACATTACTACGTTTTCGTTTATTAGGGTATCGGCTGGCGCAAGGGCTACCCGCTTGACTCTCGAGCCAGCCAAATCTGTGTCTTTCCCCCCATAATATAATAATACAAAGCTGCTCGTGCTAAATAGAGCCTAACATGCTTCCACATTCAAGTAACGTCCGGGGGGGGTAGGGAGAAGGAGGAAGATGAACGTTGTCGTGCGTGAGCTCACGTTTGTTGGATTTTTTTTTTCGCGATGTGATTCTCTAGGTGAAGTCATATGCACGGTTGCCGCCCGGGTTTTCGCTCAAGGTGGTTCGCAGTCTTTGTTTTGGTTGATGTGTGTTTTGACCTCTTATGTGTCTATGTGTAGCAGGAAGCGTGACGGATGTTGAAATTTCGGCTGTTGTGAAAACGAAATGTCATAAGCGGAGGAACCTTCCCGTTGCCCTTGGTTCATGCGTGTGTTGCTGCTGCGTCATCTGATCGGACGGGTGGTGAGTGTTTGTCCCATGATACGGACGAAGGAGGGAAGACCAGCCGAACAGGGCAGAGCTTTGAACAGGAAGCGTGTCCGCGCGAGTAGGGGAGATACTTGTTTGGTGTGCGGGAGGATATTCCGGTTTACGCCGTGTGGCGGTTGTGTGTCCCCGCCTCCCGCCGCAATCGTTAGCATTGCCAAGTGCCTTCCTGCGTGGCGCGGCGAGGAAAAGAGGTAGATGCAAGGAATCGCTATTCATTTCGGTGTATTATAATGGTTGTAGAGCACACAAACCCTTAATTGTACTCTTCTCCTGGTCGTGGTTGTTATTCTCTTGGTGGAATGTTTTTTAGTTCTCTACGCGTCGTTCCCTGTATCTCTTGTATGCGCGCAGAATTTCGACGCCGAACGTTTTAATCGCGCCGCCTGCGGCGCGTTGGTGTTTGGTACATGTACCACCTTATTTTTTCCACATGTGTAGGTCTCTCTCGCCGCCTCTTATCCAACTTGGCTTTGGATAAACATATGTACGATAAAGGTTCACCGGTGCGTCACTGCTGTTGCTCGAGACTGGTGTTTTCGAAGGGCATAGATGAAGAGGTCGGACGTAGCCGACATATCACAGTGCTCTGTGCGTGTGTTTTTTTCTCCGTGTTGTTTGGTGCCAGTTCGTGACTTGGAGTATGTACCGCGCGGCGGGCAGAATGGGAAAGGGGGGGGGGGGTTACAGTAGCGCGGGGGACTTGTTGTACGCACAAACTCATTGCGGCCCGTGTCCGTTTCCCCCCGGAAAGAGAGAGCCATTTTACTTTTTTTGTTTCGCGACGCTGTTTCATGTTAAGCCAAGACGGCAGTGTAATATTTCCCTTTTCTTTTTGCTTGGTTGCACTTTCGCTGAAGTGCCTTTTTTTTTTCTGCCGTTGTAGCGCTCTTTTGTCGCGTCACATATGGTTATCGTCCCACACAATCTAGACTCGCGCCTGTTGACTTACAGAGCTTGTGAGAGAAGGTTGAAGCGATGCGGGGTGGCCGAAGTAGGTGGAAGCGACAATGACCAGGATACACGTTTCTTTTCTATGCTGTTTGTTTGGTCCGTCCTGGGTGGTCGCGTGGGCGCCAGTGTATAATTTTGGTGTTGTTTGCCGGTACAGTAGGAAAAGTGTGATGCCCCGTTTTGGTCGTCGAACGACCCGAATAATTGTGTTTTCGTGTATGACATTCAATCACGAGAGATTTTTCTTTTTCCTAAATCGCCCTTGCATATGGGGCTCGGAGAGCGGGAATGAAAAAGGCTTGTAGCCTACATGTTTCCCCCTTTTTTTAGGTCCAGCACGCGTCGCCCGGGCATGAAAGCTGTCCTTCTCACGTAATACTTGGCATTCCCGGACTCTCTAGGAGCAGTGGGTGCGGATTGTGCGTGCCATGCGTGGGATATATGCGCCGTGTTGCCGCTCCTCGGTGTATGAATCTTGCTGGGCGAGAAGACGCTGGTTCAAAATCAAGTGCGTGCTCGACATGCTCGCTCAAGCGGCCTTCGCGAAGATAACATGGAAGTAGTGCCTTGGGAAATCCCGGTCTGGCGGTTCATGATTTCGGGAATAAAATTATTTGCAGGACGGACAGCTACTACTGCTGTACGAGCCTCGCTAATAAATCGGGAGAAAGGCACAGATATTGCGAACTACATAAGAGCAGAGCCGCAACGAAAGCTCGTTTTGGCAGGAGCGTGCGAGTGTAAGTTTTGCCGTGCCGGCGTCATACGAATGACTGTAGCATACTTGTAGACGACGAACTATATACTACCCTAGGGTATATTAGATAAAATTAGACCATCTGACCAGTCAACGTTGACTGGTCAGATTGTTTGATTTTATCTTATAAAGGATACCGACACGGGTGCGAATCCCAGCGGGGAGGCGTTCGTTGCAGTAAAATTACCATAGCAAACTGTTCCCGCTGGGAGGCCAAGAGCCCGTCGACATCTTTTATTAGATAAAATTAGACCAACCTTGACTGTGCAAGTAGTCAAATGGTCAGCCTTTATCGAATAGGGTAGGCAGCAATCAGAAAACTGCGGGTACCTTTTCTCCCTCTCGAGGAGTCTAATTGGTTGCATTTCACTATACGACAGAAAAAGCTGCATTCACTTTAAAGCGCCTCAACAGTGCAGTAATTTTCACGAGTGTGTCGTGTGCGTTTTCGTTGTTTACCCTCGTTCTGAGCAATGTAGCCTATCATCACCACACCGTCGACGAAGTACTGGACCTACCAGGAACTTGAACTACAGAGCGGGAAGGAAGGGCACAGATAACGACAACGGCTTTCGTAGGGCAGCCCCCAAAGATATGCGCACCAATGACACGTGAAGGTATTTTGTGAACCTGCAACGTCAAAAGGCAGGTGCTGCTGTGACTTTCGTTTTTTTGAGTGCCGAGAAGTGTATCGATTGCGCTTTTACCAAACCTCTCTCTCATATATATCTGCCTGCATCCACTACAACCAGTAGTACCATCCGGAACTAACTGTGCACCGGGGCCCGGGATGATGTGTTTGTGGGCTCGCGTTGTGTCTTTTACTCTGAAGGGCGGGGTCTGCTTCCCTACAGTAGTACCAATACACCGTACTTGGGGGTCTTGTACTGGCCTTTCCTCCTGCTCCACCTTACGGCCATAGCCAAGAAAACATATACTCCCTCAACCAAACGCTTCCGAAACGACCCAATCAGCTCCCCTATTTCTCATATTCTTGTCAATGGTCCTTCGCAAGCGATGAGGGCGCATTGGAACGGACGGTAAGTAGAAGCCACAGAGGCGCGGCACCTCCTCACGTTACGGGAAACAATATGGTCTTCTATTGGTTTTGTACACTCTTCGTTAGAACACCCAGAGTCCCTCACTCTGTGCGGTCTCCTTTACCCGCCTGAAATAGGACGCTCTACCGGTCGCCAATTTCTTATCGAGCAGTCACCAGGAAGTGTCGCACGCTGGGGATTAGGCATAATGTATCGAGAGTCACCAAAGCCCTGATCTATTGCTAGCCGTGCAGCCCCATAGCCCCGCAATTACTCCGACCTCGCTGTCAACACCTAGATGCGCACACGCCAGAAAAGCGAGCAAATCGGCGCAACTCAATAGTGATAAATATACTTGTAGCAATTATTGACATCAACCTCCTCCACATTTCGTGCTCCCATGCGAATGAGTTTCTGTTGCGTGAGCTTTCGAAGCAGCACGGCCTCCGACTGACCAGTATTCTGCAGCCTTGTGGTGGTTGCCTGGAGGCTAAGGGGAAGGCGGGCGTGACCCATAAAACGGGCGCGCGCGCGGGCGGGCCGCAGGATCTTTGGCACATCGATCTGTGTGGGGCCCATGACGGCGTCGCTGGAAGGGTCGTTTTTCATGATCATGTTCGTGGACAGCTTCTCGCGGTGGATGAAGCTGTACGGGATGAGGCGCAAGTCGGACACCCTCGCCTTCGTCAAGAAGTTCCTCGCCGACATGATTGGCACCGGTGTTCCTCGCTCTTTCCGGATGGACAACGGGGGGGAGTTCATCAACCGCGACTTCATCGCCTTCTGCGACAACGCCGGCATCCACCGTACGTACACGGCGCCAGGCCCACCACTGCAGAATGGTCAGGCGGAGAGTACGACCTGGCGCGTAAACAAGGCTGGCCACGCCGCTCGTCTCGAGGCACGCCGCCTGTTCCCCAAGATCGACTTCATCCGCATCCCCGGCTTCGGGCGCGATGGCGAGCGCCTTTGGCTAGAGTCGTGTCACTGGGCTGCCGGCGGCTTCAACCGTTCCCCGGTCAAGGCAAACGTCGGATACAAATCGCCGCACGAACTCTTCACCGGGCGCCCGCCCCGGCTCCAGATCGTCTCGTTCTTGCAGCCAGGGTACATGCGTGTGACGCGCGCGCGGAAGATGGATCCCCAGGCAGTGCTGTGCTGCTCCCTCAACAACGGCGACAACCATCACGAGTTGGCGGTCAAGGTTCTCAAGTTTGCGACGGGGCGCGTGTGCATTACGAACAACGTCGTGTGGGTCTCCGACCGCGCGCCGACGCTGACCCCGCCGCTGGAGCTGCCGGCGCCGGCGGGCGAGGAGGGGGATTCGGATGTCGCTGCCGCATCGACGTTTCTAATTGAGTACAATTCACCGCTTCTTGTACCCCCCTCAACGTTCGCCCGCTCTCCCACTTCACCCGCTGCCATATCCTCACAGGCGCCGCCGGCAACTTCCACACCACCGCCACCGGCTTCCACAACCACGCCGCCTGCAACGCCGTTCGTCGCCGCGCCACCGTTCACCACCGCCGCTGCACCGTCAGCAACACCGTTCCCCGCCGCCGCGCCGCCCGGTGCAGCGCCATCGACCAACATGCCGCCGCTCACCACGAGGGCCATCCGTGAACTGGACGTGGGGCACGGGGACATGAGGGTTTCTGGGCGCACGAGGGCAGCCGCAAAGAACCAGGGGGGGGGGCGGGCGTCGTCAATGCCGCCCCTCTCTGCTAGGGCTAATCGAGAGCTGGACTTGGGACGAGAGACACGGGTGCCAGGGAGGTTGAGGAGTCGGGGGGTGCGTTTTCAGGATGAGGGGACCGAGCGGTCGACGTCTCCTGGCGGGAGCGGCGACGCTCACGCCCACCGCTTCGGGCTTGCATCCCTGCAGAACGAGGCAACGCTCCTGTCGACTCTTTCTAGTCGCAGCGTCGTCGATGGGGGGAGAAAGGAGATTCCGAGTTCAGCCGGTGGGCGTGATGGAGCGGAGCCGGGGGGGTGAGAGCGGGGGGGCACGACCACATTGGGACTGCGTGATGAAGTCCCATTTGCGTGCGCCACCCTGCTTGCCTCCCGCGAGGATATCGACCGCGCGATGAGGGATTTAGATCCCCCGGAAGTGGCACCGGTCTTAGAGTACCGAAGACATTTTGGGAGGCTATGAACTCTGACAAAGGACACTTGTGGAAGGATTCGGTTGATCGTGAATTTAAGGGTCTGATTGAGGCCGGCACTTTCGAGCCACTTTCGTAGCAACCAGAGAGCGCTATGTGGGGAAGGCGATATGAAGCAAGCATATGTTGATTGTGGGGAAACGTATGCACCGACTGTAGCTTTTTCTAGTGTTCGTCTGTTAGCTGCGATGGTGTGTGAGCAAAATCTTTCCCTCCGTCATTTTGACATCAAGCAAGCATTCGCACAGTCGTATTTGGATGAGGATGTTTTCATGCGTGTGCCAGAGGGCTGTGGTAGATTGTCTGGTATGGTAGTGAGGTTGAACAAGAGTTTGTACGGTCTGAAGCAGGCGTCGAGACAATGGCATTTGCACTTGGGGGAGTGTTTGATTTGTTTGGGATACATTCAGCGCGTGGCGGATACGTGTGCGTGTGTTTCGGTTGATTGAGGACGGAAGAGTGGTAGTGACTATGGTGGTACATGCAGATGACATATTTTCGATAGGAGAGAAGAGGTGTGACCAGTTTGGCAGAGATCTCAACACCATGGTACCGGTGAAGAATCTTGGGGACTTGAGATGGTATTCAGGGTGCTTTTATGAGAGAGATTGGGAGGCAGGAACGCTGAAGATCTCGCAGCAGACGTATGACGAAGAGTTGGGTTGGGGTTGGAGTTCGGGGTGGGGTATGGAAAAGAGATACATACCTCTTCCGGTAGGGATGAAGCTTTTTGAGTTTGATCAAGATGAGGAAGCAGTGCCGTGGCCTTTTCGTGAGCTGATAGGGTCGTTGATGTGGTTTGAAACGCAAACGAGGCCAGACATTGCTAATCCTGTAAGAGTGGTGGCTAGGTATTATTTTATTTTTTTGCCTTCCGACAATTGCAGATGTACCTCAGAAAACTTTCACTTAATGTCTCATACTCTACATGAATATTAAACCAATACGAAGTACAACAACATATGTAGGACGTATTTCTACTGTCACTTACACTGTAAAATTATCTCCTCTTCAATTTGAAATAAAGCCAATGACAATCCTCATGGTATCCTACATNCTTGTAAAAGCTGAAATCCAACAAATGCTTTGATCCATGCTACATCTCCGTGTTGGAAAAGCCCTTTCTTCTCCGTTCATGACAACATCTTACCCTATTCTACGCAAATCTGTCACATCTTCTTCAAACGAAAACGCGTTCTACGATGCGTCTACACTCCATCCCCATATCATTGGCGTTGACTGGTTCGAGGTCGATCTTGTTCGCTTGTTTTCGGCGTCTTGTATTGTGCATCTCCCAAAAACATTCATGGGAGAGCAGGTCTTGGCATCTTGGGGTATGTGGTATGTCAGAGATATTTCGCTGTGCACTAGCAGCAGTACGATGCTGCAGATGCCAGGAGGCTGTGTAGCCTACCTCAGAGGTTCACACTCTGTGCGTCTCCAACCGCGAGAGACTTGGAATGGAAATATGAAGATGTTTTTACTAGTCGCTGACTCCCGAGTCAGATGTTGCTGGTACTGAAGAGGAGTGAGAGTGGTGGGCGAGCTTAGGGCTGCACCACTCTTCTCGAATACCGGACAAATAAGCCAATCACACGAAAGATCCAGAATG